GCAGTTCATCCATCTTCTTACAAACAAACAGTATGCCTCATAAAGGGTGTACTCAACTACAGGGTGTTCTTTTTGTGGTGAGTTTTAAATAGGGTGTTCTTTTTGAAGAGTTTCACTATAAGGTGTTCTTTTTGTAGTTTTACAACAGAGTGATCCTTTTGTAAATTGTTTCTGCAAATACATCTTTAAAAAGCATCTAAAATGTTTTAAGATCATCAGAGGGAAAGAAAAGGCTGGAAAAGTACAGCCATTTGAAAATCTTGTTCCACTTTGTGAACATTTGGACCTTTTTCAAAAAATCCCCAAAATAATGCCTTCTCTCAAAAATGAGGCATAAAAGGCCTATTTAAGGAAAAAAATATTAGGCCTGCTTTTTTAGGCCCAACCTAAAACAGAAAATAGGGCCCCTCTATATATCCGCCAGTGCAACTTATCATTTTAGGAATCCTGGTCATGTAACTAAAGTGTGTACAATTTATACCCTGTGCTAAGTGGCTTGTAGTCCGACCCCCCCCCCTCGGGACCTAAAAAGGCCTTAAGGCCATAAAAAGTGGTTAAGGTCAATACTGGGCCTTTTAAGGCCTTATTTTTAATTTCAGGCCAAATTATGAAGATCTTTTCTCTAACTTTTTTGCTCTTACCTGAAATTTGGCCCCCCCCCCCCCTTATTGGTTCCCAGATCTGCCCCTGAAACCTGTCTAAGTGGAACACCTTTGGTACCTCTAAAGTGTTCCACTAACAGAGGTGTTCCACTTTACATGTTGCACTATACTGTATAGCAGGGTTATGGTAAAAGGGTTACTTACCAAGAAAACCTATAATGTTATTGCACTGTACATGTACCATTGAGGACTTTGCATTGTTTGATCCACTGGCTTTGTCAGGTTTCATCTGAAAAATATGTGGAGGATAAATAAGAGTAATTTTTGTTTTATTCTGCATGTCATCAAAATAAAAAATGTCTAAACAAACTCCAGCTTTATATCATGGTCTTACATTAATTTACTTTACTACATCTCTCGACAAACACCGTGAAGAGCAATCAATATTGACTAATCAAGAGACAGCCTGCACTAAACGGCTATAGACAAAATAAAGAGTGTGCCAAACTTTGAACTACTCTGATTCTATCATGTCCATTGCATAAGAAGGCATCTCTACAAAAGTAACATCACTCAATAACGCAGATGCGAGTAGGTAGTTACCAGTTTGACCACCAGGTGCCTCGTTCGGGTCAGATAGCATGGCGGGTATAGGAGAAAGTTCCCTTTAACTTAAATTACATCTATTTTAGTGGTTCAATTTTCATATAACCCTTCTGTATCTCATAGTTATGCAAATTAAAATATGTCCAGTAAAAGAAAATGGTATTTGTCAAATAAAAGAAAAGATATTTCACTTTTTGTGAATTTGTAACATGGGGTCTATGGGGAATCAACCCGAACTAGAAGTCACATTTTCAAAAAAAATTAAATTTTCAAAATTGATAAACAATTTTCGAAACCATATTTCTTGATGTACTTTTACATGTAGAATTCAAATATGTCATCACTTGGACTGAATTTTGAATATCTAATGACGTAAGTCAAGATTACTTCTACTCGCATCTAGTCTATTAATGCTTACATTTATCCTTTGAAATAATAAGATTTGATGTTTTAGTATATAGACTTATCCCGTTCCCGGACTATGGTCCTGTGAACATCTCAATCTTTTGCCTGTGCGATTACAACATGGGAGAATTTTTTACTGATCTTACACTTCAGATACCTACTTCAATAGATTCCTTGGTAATTTAGCATTCTTTTCGTGTAGTTGAATCCACAATTGTCTGGGTTTATCGGCAGAACAAAGACATTTTCGTTTTTGATCGCAATATTTGCGTGTAACATTTAATCTTTTTCAACCGTCAAATTCCTCCATATTGGTACTTCCGGGCTACATCCGGGACAGCCAAACGGGGGATTCCCCGTTTAAATCCAACCGCCATTTTGAAAAGTGATGGAATCTCTCTCGATGAAAAAGAGAAAATGTTCTCGTTCTGCCGATATACCCAGACAATCGGCGGTTCCAATATATTAGAAGTTACATCTTGAGTTCTATAATGCATTGAGGTAGGTATCTTAAGTGTAAGGGGCGTAGATAATTCTCCCAAGTTGTAATCGTACAGGCAAATGAATGCGATCAGTGCAGGACTATAGTCCGGGAACGGGATAAATATAGACCTCCATGTATCTATCTTTTTGAGGTCTCTTTCCATATTAACCAGTGAATTTGTTTGGAAATGTTTTGTTTATGTCACATTTTGGTTTATATTTGGAACAAAATAGCAGTAAAAAAAACAAAAAAACTGATGGTCTGATTGCATATGATATAAAAAAATTCAGATTTTCAAAGTTTATTAATGATTACTTTACATTCCATGAAAAATACTTTGTTTTAAATTATATGGAATTATCATACAAACTTCTTGCTCTAAAAATAAACTGTGATGAACAATGGAGTCAAAACAAAGTCCCTGTGCTGAGTAAGAAAATCAAAAAAAAACAGACAATTTGTGCTGAGTAGGCATAATTGAGAAAACCATTAGAGAAGCCTTGCTGTCATATATCATGTCAAAATCAAATAATAGATTGTACAAGGCATTAACATGCAAAATTTCACAACCTGCCATTTGTTACAGATACTAAATGCTAACCACCAAACACCAATCACTGAAACACTGAACACCAAACAACATCCACTAAAAGTTCCAGACTTTAACAATATGTCGCCACATCAGGAGGAAGTGACATAAAAATGGTGTGCACTGTAAAACTTCTAAACACCGATTTTGTTGAACAGTCAAAACAAAGATTATGCTACAAAGATACCCTTTCAAATAAAGTTTCATTTTGCTTCTTCAAAAGAGATCTTAATCAGCCCTCTTAGAACAAGAGATAAACCTTTAATCTAGAGCCTTACCAAAAACAAATCATACAGGAAACCGCATACTTCCGACTCACATTAACTTCCTAATCTTAAAAGGTACATCAAGCACAAGTGGCAAACACAGAAAACTACTAATATAAATCACAAGGAAGGAAGGATGTGATCAATCAAAGTTATCTACAACTCTACAACTCACAAATATAGTTAGGGGCCATTGCCAAAATAAAATGAAAAATGAGTAAGTGGTTTCATGATCAGAGTAATTTATTCAATGCAGTTTTGGACATACAGACACTCTATTAATTAATACATTTCTAAATGATGGTTTACAATTAATAATTGAAATACCATTAATATATTTAGACACCATGGGGACTAAACAATTTCAGAGTTATCTCATAACTTTATCGTATTATCAAATAATTTTTCAATTTATTGTTCAACTACTATTTTAGAACCATATTCAAACATCCCATGTTCTTGCAGTTATGGATAGTGAATGATTCCTGAACAGTGGGGGGGGAGGTCAGATCATGATCATATTTTAATCAATAGTATTGATTGAATACATTGTATGTAGAACGTGGCTAATACTGCTAAAAGCACAGCCACTTACACTGTATTATTGTATTATATTCTTTGTACAAATGAATAAGTTAATAAAAAAAGATCATGATTTGGGATATTGGGGGTTTCATTTTCTTGTGACTGGCTGTACCCTAAGATGTTTCTTTTTCCTGCAATTTTATCATAATCTTTTCCCCTCTGACATTTTTTTTACATATTCCCTATATCTCTGTAATCAACATACTACTGAAGGTCATACTCACATGCATCAACTCTCTCTTTATCTCTACCGAGTGATATAACACGATTGAATAACTTGTAAAACAGAACAAGGAGCTTAGAAACCACAGCAATGTTTTGACAAAACCTATAGAGATATGGGTGGGAGAAAGATAAATGCAATCTTGAAAGAGGGTGAATCTTTTTTTTTTTTCATGTTATCAATTTATTTCTAATATAAACATTTACATTCAATTACAATTACTAATTGCCAAGGGTGAATCTATAAGAGTCAGAACAATAGATTACTCTCTCAAGATGAATAATGGCAGGTATTTAAAAGTACATGTAGCTCAGATTCATATAAGCTTTTTAATGCCAGTCTCTTAATGAGATTTCCTTTTTTGACAAATTTTGACATTTTACTTTGGAAACATACAATGTGTGATTATGAGAAAACATTGAATTAAAACTTTTTTTAACAATACACAATAATGGCAGAAAGAAACACCTTTATTTATTACTATATTTAATTTAGCATATTTGATTGATTTTAATTATCCATGGTAATTTTTTTCTTTGGTTATTATCATAGAAATATTGTAGTAGTGAGTAGAATCATTTATCCTATACCTAATAGAGTTATAGGTAAATATCATGTGGGAATATAATTGATATCTGAGGTGAGAGGGAGATACTGTATCTCCTGGTGTATCTCCCACTCAGTAATCCCTGGTAATTTTGTTCAGTGCATTTCTTTGATTTAAACAAAAGAAATGCTGTAAAAAGTATAGGATAAATCAGTTATTCTTGTAACCCTCAGGAAATACAGTACCCCTGGTCCGTATGGTCCCTCGGTTAGATATATTGTTTTCCTCAGGATATACCCTATATCCAAAACCTCCCATTAAATAACACTCATATAGATACTGATGTACATGTGATTCATATCTGGAATGAATATATCAATTAATCCCAGTTCATAGTTATTTCAAGTGTTGCCATAGTTGTTGTTTGGCTGATATTTTCCAAATGTTAGCTCATCTCAAATAAATGATGTGCTGCATGCTGATTGACGGGACCATGTTGGAATTATTAATTACGCAACGAGAAAGTAACAACCATGAAAGTTATTCCTGAAATAGACATTACGGGAGACTCAAATATAGCCTGATCATTCAGACAAATCACAGAGAGAGATTCAGTAGCTAATAAAACTGGATGTTTTTTCTGATGATCTGATCTTAGTAATTCCAAAGGGGAAAAGAGAGATAGCATTGTACGGTTGTGGAATGCATGCAGGGCCAGATTCACTTGGGAGATATACACACATAGACCAACCAGCCAGGTGTCTGCTTACATCAGAATTCACCTTTCCAAGCCAACAAACTTTGCCTAGAAAGTATAGCATACCTGACAGGGTAGTAACATCCTCTTTTGATTTGTTCATCTTATAGATTCTCTTCTCGCTTTATTCTTGGATTGTTTTACAATTTACGGCGGTAATTAGTGAACTTTGATTATTTACAAGTGAAACTAAAGATCTTCGCACTTACACAGTGATACTATTTGGAATAACCGGAACACAGATTGGAATATTTTTGGAGTATAGTTTCTTGGTATGCTACGCAGTATGAATGTGGATAGAAACCGTGGTTCCAATACAAGAGTTGCTTATGGTATGTATACATGTACCTATCAGATATCTCAACCTAATTCTATCAATACAGAGATTATTTGCATATTTCTTACCTAAAAGACACGAACTGATGTTTAAATTACATTTTACAGATACCGATTCCTATAGGTAAATGTCAATCAGTGAATTTGTTATCTAGGGGATAAATACTTCATATTTGAGGTTTTGAGTACTTATCATTTCCAGATGCAGAAACAATTATAAAATTCCATACACAAGTATAATAAATATTTTTTAACAGTAATTCTTCATCATTAAGGACTTTAACAAGTAGTGAAAAAATCGGGAAACTGTTATTTCACATATAATTTATGACAGTGATTTTGCCAGAGATTTCCCTTGCGTAATCTACTATTATATGAAAACATCCAGAAAAAAATTGAAAAATATTACCTTTGTCATTATTTTTTAATTCAAAATTCTCACCAGGTGGATTATTTCATTTATATCATTGTTCATCAGAGAGTTTGATAATTAATCCTGAACTTTCCTCTTAGGCTGGTTTACCCTTTGCATTCATTCAACTTTGCCTCTTAAAAGAGAGCTTCATTGGTAGTTTATATACTCTGTGTGTATGAAAAGGCTATTTAATTATACACATTTATAAATGCATGTATATTACACCTTGATCTCTTCAAAATCAGAACTTGAAGATTACATGAATAAATGGTTAAAGCTATTAATAAAAAGTCACTTCATTTACTGTACTCGCAAGGGTTGATTTGATATCATTAGAAACTTTGTCATCTAAAGAAAGGTGGCAGTATAAGATATTCTACCTGATTGTGTCAATCATATAGATTATCATATCCCATATATCATCAAACATTAACTATCTCATCAAATTAATTTGTTAGCTTACAACAGCTTAGTTACCATTCCCCCCCATTCCCTATGTGAACTAATTAGATTCTTCTACCTTATGTTTCTTTTGAATCTTAGACTCTGCCAGATTTACAGAGAATAATTCCAAATACACATTAACAAACTCTAGTTGTAAAAAAACTCAAACAGGCAATAGAATTAATAAAAATCGTGCAACCAGCAAGAAATAAAGTAAACAACTAAATATAGTCAACAGTCCAAATTATATAGAAATACAAGAAAATTGGTCAGTTCAAGGCCCATACCCAGGGGAATGGGTTTCGAGGGGCTTGCCCCCCCCCCCCCCAGCCAAAATTTCTTTCAAAATCATGCAGTTTTTCATGATTCTGAGCATTTTTCATGTGGTTTTAGGCACAATTTGTCGAAGTAAAACCTCCTAAAATTTTTGAAAAGTGAATCCCCCTTGGTAAAAGCTGGCTACGGGCCTGAGTTCATAGATATTTGTGTGGAAATGTGAGGAAAAGGCATGATTAGAGGAAAATCAGGCAAGGAAATCAACATCTGATAACTAGAGAAAGATTGCATAAATGTGTTAGAAATAAACATAAGTCCAGACTGTTAATGCAAATCATTGGTTATATTTAGCAACCATGATGAAAACTGAAGGGTTGAGAATTTACTTAGCGGTTTTAAGGTTCTTGCAATGTAATATAGTACTATGTATTCCATATTTGAGATTTATCCATAGTCTGTACTGTACATATAGTAAAACCTGTCTTAGTGAACACCTCTCTCTAGTGATCACTTGTATCTAGTGAACACCTATTTCCAGCACATACTCCACTAAAGCTGTATAAAATTGCCTCGCTGAAGTAAACACCTAGCTACAGTGTAGGTGTTCGCTATATACAGGTTTTACTGTATATGAAAAGCTACAGTATATAAATTCTTACATTGGTAGATTACCTGTATAACCATCATTATAGTTCTTTCAGAGTAGATTTTTTCCTTAAAGACAGAAACAGAAAAGGGAAAAAATCTATGATCAAAAGACAGGTAAAGATTACTTCACAGACTTATCAGCTTATCTAAGTATTAATGTGCATAGAAAGAATCTTGCCAAAATATCATATGTTTAAACCTTTATCTTTCTGCACAATTGTACAATTGTACATCAGTACAGTATAAATTTAAATCAAAAATATTAAAATTTATAGAATTGACAAAATGGAATAACCTGGCATCAACAACCTGAAAATCAATAAATCAATTTGAAATTCAACTCATTTATATTAAGAATTTTTAAAAGGAAACATTCTTTTAACACAAAAATATATTTATCATTCTTTTTTTACATAATTTGGCAAAAACATTGTTTTGAAAGACAATGTAAATATCTAAGATTAATCATCTAACAACAATGTTATGCTATAAATAGCTGAAAGATAAATAGCTGAAAGATAAATCTGAGCTCCTTAAAGTACAAAGGTAAAAAATGATCATCTGGAATGGAAAAATTCTTTTGAACATTTGAACCAAACTTAACCCCTCAAGTTGATCCACTTTTTAAACCCAGAAGAATTCCATCTCAGATCTCCGGATAATGCAACTCCTTGACTCATTATGATCATTTATTTTTATTTTTTGTTAGTTGATTATGTTTTATGTATAGGCTCTCTTCTATTAAACAAAAAATGTTCTATTTGTATTCTCAAACCACACATTCACTGTAACTTACTAACTTACTGTTTTAGAATTTCTTTTTTAGAAGAGTAAAATTCCAATTAGCCATTTTTGAGTCAAAACTGAAATTTTCTAAAATTTCAATGTCCATGTCAGGGAAAACTATTTTGATTTTCTCAGACTTTTCGCCTGATCATAGTAGCCCCATTCTCCTCTAGCAGTGGATCCTCCAATCAAATGAAATACCTTGATGCATCAGTTGAATAAATATGAACAAAAGCACTGTCTTATAAAGCACAAAATAGCTTCTCCCTGCAGAAAGCCAGAATGAGAAAGGCAAATAAGTTGAAACTTAATGGTTGGTCTTGATGAGAAGGTCAATATTTCTATAATTACATTTAAGATTGACCCCTTCCCAAAAATGACATAACATATTTTTCATTATTTTCAAATTAAAGTATCTTCCTTTTAAAAATTGATGTATGCTATTGAAACATGCTTAACCCCCCCCAACCCTCTGCCTTAACAGGTAATAAATATGTTTGTTAACTATGTTTGTTTGTACATTGACATTGTGACCTTCCCCCTAAAGATATGTAGATATTCTAGGAACAGTTACATTTATAATTGTGTAATTAATTTTAAGTAAACATCACAATGACAGACAACCCTTGGGAAGAAGCACTTTTACTTTTTACATTTTCTGTCTATCCTGAACATAACAGGTGAACCATTAGATATCGGGGACCTTATATTTTAGAGTCATCAAAATTATTTTTGAACACAATCAGAAAATCTTCATTAATAAATTCCAAATTTCAGAAACAAGTCAAATTCTTTACTTCAGAGAATATTTTTAATTTATTGAGACTTTCGACTAATATCCCTTAGTCTTTTTCAAAATATAACAGCATGTATACATTTATGTATTAAAAATAAATTAAAAATATAAATATAATATAATATAATATATAATATAATATATGTATTAAAAATAAATTAAAAATATTCTCTGAAGTAAAGAATTTGACTTGTTTCTGATATATTAACCAGAGAGATGAACTTACATAGAAATTCCAAATTGTTTTTCCAACAAACATGTAATTCAGAATACAAGGACAAAGGGTATTTTTGTAATACATCCTCTGAATACAGGCCTCCACTCGTACCTCCTTCTTCCAAGAAGAAGAAGGAAGGAACTTGTGGATGACTTCTTGAACCCTGCCTTTAGAGGATGTTGTAATAAGGCAAAGGTATTTTTGTCTAAACCAAAGCTAAAAATATTTTTTGTTCACTTTTCAGGCAGGTAAAACATGTTTTATTAGATGGTTCAACCCTAATTTAATTCACTCAATGCATCTGATACATGGATAGTAATATTAGACACCTTGTGAATATTGATGTAAACGTCCCAAGGGTTGAGTGACATTTCACCTGTCCACCTGTTCAATAATTTACCTGTTAATTAATTTACCTGGAATAATAGACACATTACTACATAGACATTTATACAATGAATATAGGAACTCTAAATGCAAATGCTATTTTAGCTTAAAAAAAATAGGCACTGACTAACTGAAATAGTACTGAAACAGGGGCTAGTATAGCAGGAATATTCTGATACTGCAGTAATTCATAGAAATCTACTCTAGGGCATGAATCCCGAGAGGGGGGGGAGGGGGGGGGGTTCACTCTAAAGAAATTGGGTAGGTAGGTGCAGCACAGGCAATTTTGGCTTAGGGCATAATTCATGGAACCTGGCCAAACTGAGAAGAAAAAAACATGGAAAATTTGTCAAAGAGAGAACCTTTTTAAGTCAAAAATCAGGTTTTTCTACGAAAGATGCTAATGAATTGGTAAAATCAGATGGCAAGGTCTGAAACACAACGCGATAGCCACGCCCCCTTTGTCTTTATCCTTCCAAAGTGAACGCAAATGGCAGATAAGAGTGACTCTGGCAAGACTGGCATACCAGAATGTCTGAAACAAATCACCATGAATATGATCCATCACGTCATCACAATGTCTTTAGCACAATGACATTGTGCAGACATGATACTATACACAGTAATAAGTATAACATATCCCATGGGCATCTGGATATTTGAACCATCGAAAACACATAACACATAAAAATCATCTCTAAATAGATTCTGATTTTGTTTTCAAATTTTGCATCTTGTGGTTTTCAGCGCGCAGTTCATGTGTGGCATCCAACCATAAATGTAATGGCAAATTGGGTGAGATATACCTCAAACATTTCATATGTCATTATGACATTTCAATAAATGTTTTGTTGAAACAGTGCCATTAATAACATTGCATCAGTGGAATGTTATTACAAAGTTATAAATATTTAGCCTATCTAAAACTATTGCCTTAACAGAAGTATAAATAAGAAAGGCCTTGTGTTACAACAAATTAGTCAACTTTAAGAGTCTACCAAACAGCTTACAAGAATTAGATTAAGAT